ATCATCTATGAATCCTTGGAATGAATCCCACTTAATCATGGTGTATAATTTTTTTGATGTTTTGCTGTATTCTGATTGCTGATATTTTATTGTGGATTTCTGCATCTGTGTTCATCAGACATATTGTCCTGTAGTTTTCTTGTTTCTTTTTTCGTTGTATCTTTGTCTGGTTTTGGTATCAGGGTGATGCTGGCATCAAAAAATGAGTTTGGGAGAATGGCCTCTTTCAATTTCTTGGAATAGTTTGAAGAGAATTGGTATTAATACCTCTTTAAATATTTGGTAGAATTCAGCAGTAAAGCTATCCAGTCCTGGGCTTTCTTTGTTGAGAAGACTGCAGACTTACTGCTTCAATCTCATTGCTTGTTATTGGTCTGTTCAGGTTTTCTATTTCTTCTTGGTTCAGTCTTGGTAGTCTGTGTCCCAAAATTTATCCATTTCCTCCAGATTTTCAAAATTGTTGGCGTATAGTTGTTTATATTAGTCTCTAGTGATTCTTCGTATTTCTGTGGTTTTGTTATCTGGGTCTTCTCTCTTTGTTTAGTTAGCCTAGCTAATGGCTTGTCTATTTTGTTTATGTCCCCGAAAAACCAAATTTTGTTTCAACTGATCTTATATATCATTTTTTTGGTCTGTACTTCAGTTAGTACTGCTCTGATCTTAATTATTTCTTTCTTCTACTATTTTTGGAATGGGATTGTTCTTGTTTTTCTAGTTCTTTGAGGTGAAGCATTAGGTTGTTTATTTGATAAACTTTCTATTCTTTTGATGTAAGCATTTATTGCAATAAACTTTCCTGTTAGTACTGCTTTTGCAGTATCCCACAGGTTTTGGTATGATGTGTCTTTATTTCCATTAGTTTCAAGAAATTTTTTTGATTTTCTATTTAATTTCTTTTGGACTCATAGGATGTTTGGGAGCATGTTTCATTTCCATGTGTTTGTAGTTTCCTGAGTTTCGCTTGTTACTGATTTCTAGTTTTAATCCATTGTGGTCTGAAAAGATACTTGAAATAATTTCAATTTTTAAAAATTTGTTGAGACTTGGGCCGGTCCCACAGCTCACTCGGGAGAGTGCAGTGCTTAAAGTGCCGGTGGTCTGAAAAGATACTTGAAATAATTTCAATTTTTAAAAATTTGTTGAGACTTGGGCCGGCCCCACAGCTCACTCGGGAGAGTGCAGTGCTTAAAGTGCCGAGGCCATGGGTTCGGATCCTATACAGGGATGGCTGGTGTGCTCACTGGCTGAGCATGGTGCAGACAACACCAAGCCAGGGGTTATAATCCCCTTACCAGTCAGAAAAAAAAAAAACTTGCTGAGACTTGATTTGTGACCTAACAGGTGGTCTATCCTGGAGAATGTTCTATGTGCTGATGAGAAGAATGTATATTTTATAGTTGTTGGATGAAATGTTCTGTTGATATCTGCCAAGTCCAACTGGTTTAAAGTGTGGTTTAAATCCTGTGTTTCTCTGTGGATATGTTGCCTAGTTGATCTGTCCAGTGCCAACAGATGGGTGTTCAGATCCCTTACTATTATAGTATTGAGATCTATCTCTTTCTTTAGGTCTATTAGTGTTTGTTTTATATATCTGGGTGCTCCAGAGTTGAGTGCATATATATTTATGATTATTATGTCTTCTTGTTGGATAGACCCCTTTATCATCATATAGTAGCCTTCTTTGTCTCTTTTTATGGTTTTTGGTTTAAAGTCTATTTTATCCTATATAAGAATATACCCCTGCTTGTTTTTGGTTTCCATTTGCATGGTATATATTTTTCCATCCCTTCTCTATTAATGTGTATGTCTTTGTCTCTTGAGGACAGCATACAGTTCTCCATTATTGTTTCACTGAATAGGTTTTCCATGCCTTTGTCTTTTTCCTCCCCTTCTGGAACACCCATGACTCAAACGTTTGTGCACTTGAGGCTGTCTGCTAGCTCTCTTAGATTTTCTTCATTTTTTAAAATTCTTTTTCCCTTTTTTTTGTCTGCCTACATTATTTCAAAAAGACTATCTTCAAGATCAGAAATTCTTTTTTCTGCTTATTCTAGCCTGCTTCTTAAGCTCTCAGTTGTGTTTTTTATTTCACTGAATGAACCTTCCACTTCCATGAGTTCTGCTACATTCTTTTTTAAGGTATTAATCTCTTTGTAAATTTCTCCTTTATATCCTGGATTTTTTTTTCTCATTTCAGTATGTTTTCAAACTGAGTCTTCTCTTATCTCAGTGAGTTTCCTTAAGACTGTTGTTCAGAATTCCTGTTCAGTCATTTCAAGGGTTTTCTGCTCTATAGGGTCTGGTATTTGAGAATTACTATATTCTTTTGGTGCTGTCATATTTTCTTGGATTTTCATATTTCTGGTTTTTCTACATTGATGTCTGATCATCTAGTAGGGCAGTTGCTTCTTCTACCACTCTGGAGTAAGCTTTGAGGAGACAGACATCCTCTTCTTTTTCCGGTCTCTGCTGGTGGGTCTCCTTGTGTCAATGCAGTTTAGTGTCTGGTGGGCCACCTGCACGGTAGCTGTAGCTACTGCTATGGTGGTGAACCACTTTTGCAGCAGCCATGGCTGTGGCGGTGGTTGTGGTGGGCCACCCACATGGAAGTGGTGTTTTTGGCGTGCTCCTTGTCTGCTTCCAGGTTGGGAGAGTGGGGTGCCTTTGGCTCCTTCCTTAGGCCCTGAACACGCTCCTTGCCTGCTTCCAGGTGGGGGGGTTCAGGGGGAGGCTGCCTTTGGCTCCTGCCTCGAACCCTAGGGCATGCTCCTTGCCTGCTTCCAAGCAGTGGGAGCTGCCCTCAGCTTCTACCTAGGTCCCCAGGAGTGTTCCTTGCCTATTGCCAGGCAGTGAGGACTGATCCAACAAAGGTATCATTTAAGTAAACTTCATCATTCTAAATTTTAGTTTTACATCTTTAATTTTATGACGAATTTTTGGTTCTAGTTTCTAATATTATATCCACTATATTACATGCTCCAAAGACACTTGTTAATTTCATATGTAGTTTTATAATCTGAGTAAAACCTAATTAAAGACCAAATAAGGTTGAAGAGTGTTTTCAAAAAGGAGCTTTATTTTAACTGAATGTTGCTAAAAACCCACACAGAAATTTGACCTACTAAGTACTGGATAAGATTTAACTCAGAGAAGATTTTCCATGAATAAAATTACCTTTAATTTAGGCATACTTATTTTATGTTATTAGTACTCTTTCAAATAGCCACAAATATGAGGATACTTGAATACTTTTCATCCAAATACAGATACAACTCCAACTAAGCACCTTTATTAAGACAATTTGGGAAACATTCTAGTATTTAAATATAAATGTCCTTGATTAACACTGAGAAAAAAATGTAAATAAGTTTAAAATATTCATGCATTAGAAAATGACAGTTTCCTAATGACCTATTTTTTATATATAAAAATGTAATCCATGTAAATGTTGTTATAAGAAGGGTTTCACCTTAGAATTGAATAGTGTGAAGAGAAAACCTGATATTTATTCAGTTGTTCACAACTCAGTTGATTAACTTGCTCATAAATAAATGTGCTTAGTTCTTAAAATGGACCCTTTTACTTTTTACAACTATTCTGCTACAATAAATTTTTCAGATATTATCTGAAGCAAAAGCAAAGCTGCAAAAACAACAGGAGTTAGAAGTATTAATCAAGAGTTTCTCTTTATTTGTATAGTAAAAGTATGATTTACTGATTTATTTTCTTTGACATCTGCATACATAGTTACTGGTAGGCTTTGAATATTAACAATACAAATCCAGAAGATTCTATAAACCTACTACAGGAGCTAATATTCTCTGCTTTGGTATAAAAAACAACTAGAAGTCCAATGATCGAGGACTTTTTAAATGACCTACTTATCAAAAAATTAAGTACTCACAATAAGTTCTGACTTTCATTGACATAAAGTATAGAGGAGTGAAACTAAATAATGTAGAAAGTCAGTTAAGTCACGGATCTTTCACTTGAGTAGCCAGGTGTATTATTAGTCATAATTGCTATGTCAAAAAACAGTAAATCTACCAGAAAAGACAGTATAGGAATTTAGAGATCCCTATATTCTTTCCTTTTATGTGCTTCAGTAACAACAAACTTCTTTATTTAGTTCCGTAATAATAATTTTACCACCACACCATCTAGTCCAAGATAAATGGACCCTTATACACATATTTCATTCTCCTCCACAATAGATTCTGAAATTCAAAGGGAATAATCACATTGTATATTCTCAGAAACTGACTGTCCTTATAAACCATGAATGCTTAAGCCATAATACAAGCAACCAAAATTCTGACCCTCAACAGAAACTTTCAAACTAAAATTATTTTTAAATCCCTGAAGTTGAACAATGTCTAAATTTAAGAAATAGTCAACTCTACACATGGAGATAAAGAAATATATTAAAATACAACCTTCTAACACTTCAGTAACTTTGGTCACTACCCCACCCCCTAAAAACAACCATTACATAGTTATAGGGTTTTTTTATAAGATCTTATTTGGAATATCCCATTATGAACAAAATCATAATGTATACATGAACTGGCAGTCATCTTTCATTAAAATTCTAACAATGTAAATGTAGCACTGTCCTATGAGAAAACACATAGTTTAACAGTTTAGATCTTTACCTCCCAGTTATCTTCTGGTATTGAGAGGAAATACTCCAACATTAATTCCCTATTTCCACAACCTTAGAAAACAGGCACCTCTTTTTTTTTTTTTTTCCTTTTTGTCTTTTTTCGTGACCGGTAACGGGATCGCAACCCTCGGTGTCGCGCCCGCACCGCGCTCAACCAGTGAGCAGACCGGTCTCTATATGGGATCCGAACCCTCGGCGGGAGTGCCGCCACGCTTCCAAGCGCAGCACTCTACCGAGTGCACCACTGGGCCGGCCCAGAAAACAGGCACCTCTAATCTGGAACTGAAAGGGTGAGAGACAAAAAGTTAAAATAAATCATTAATAACATATTTACCGGTTTGATTCGAAGCTGACCACCCACCACCTCAAGAATAGCATGTCTTCTGGATACTCTCTTGTCTGTTATCTAGAGAAGAAAAAAGTTAAAATTTAAAATATAGCCACCACTTAAAACTAACAAAACAAGCAATCAAAACCCTTAGCAATGTTTCTGAAATCAGTAGGTGAAGTATAAAATACATCATTCATTCAACAACTGTATATTGAAATGATTATACTCATTTACCAGATAATGAAACAACTGAGAGATTAAGAGACCTGCCCAAAGTCATGGAAGAGTAAATGACAAAGCCAAGACTCAAGATTAGGACCTAACAGATCTCAAAACTTTACATGATAGTTTCTATTCATGACAGACATCTAGTAGGGATTCTTACAAATAAAATTCATAAAATGAGAAAAAAAAACCCCACAGAATATGTACTTATTAGGAAACATTTCAAATACAAGAAATATATAGCATGTTATAATAACAAAAGTTTTAAAAAGAGGCAGTATGGTAAATGTAAAGGGTCTGACTGCAGACTTGGGGATCAGGCAGAACTGCATTTAAGCTCTCAGGCAATGAGTAGTAGTTAAGAGAACAGGAAGGCAGAGGAGGAAATAGTGAAAAACTAATACTACAGTGAAAAAGAGATTAGCATCTACTTTTTTATATAATTTGCTTCCTGTTTTGAGCCAACAGTGTTCTACTTAAGATCAGAATCATTTCTGCGTACCAAAGTTCAAAAATTGTTTGCATTTTAAATGCAGAAAACGCCAATTAAGTCTTCCTTACTTGGATGTAAACACAACAGTTAAGAGTACCATTTTTATTTGTGGCTGATATGAATGAAAACATTTTAAGCACAGCTTCACTTTATACCATAATTGTCTAACCCATCTCTTGGTTACCTTAGTATCTAGCACTTAAACTCTGGCATTATCCACATCAGGACCAAAATTATCAGTAAAAGCAGACTACAGCAATGCATAAATTCAATGAAACCCATTAGGTCTGCAAAAATTTGCAAAAATGTGAAACTGCCAGGAATCACTATTCATGTTTTTAAAGAGAGAGCAATTCCACATTTAAGGCTGTGACTATACACAAATAGTAACATCAAGCATCACAGCAGAATGAGTACCATATAAATGAATTTTCTTCCAAAAATAAAGTTAATTTTTAGAACCTTTTCTAAAATAAAACATCTTAAAAAAAGCCCATTCAAAATTATTATGAGCCACAATGGCAATTTCAGAGAAGTAAAGATAAGCTTAAGGACAGAAATTTAGAGATTCTTTTATTTTTCCCAGACTGTACCTTAGTGCGCCAAAAACAACAGCAGTTATCTGATAACTCACTTTATCATTTGCTTAGAACTCTCACTTAAATGTTGAGATTCACCACAACACTGTCACAGCTATTATCCACATTTTACATATTTAGAAGTTGAAAGCTCAGAAAATTTAAATAGCTTGGATAGGTCACTCTTCAAGTAGGCAGTACTCCAAATTCACACACTTACTTAATTAAAAACATATGTAAGAAAAACATTCATACATGATTACATTCAAAAATAATTTCAAGAAAATAATCATTCAAAAGTATAATTTCAAGAAATGCAAATTATTCTGTGGCTGGGAGTAAGAAGTTTCTGTTTCTAACTTGGGTACCAAGATCTCATTCTTACTTCAAGAATACAAATCGACTTTCTAACCAACAGAATAACAAACTGTCAAATAGAAAACCATGACATATAATGACGGTTTCTGTAATAGTCCATCTTAGGTTTCTTTCTTTCCTTTTTTAAACTCTATTTTTGTAGGAAGCAATAATAGGCTTTTCCTATCTCAGTCTTTCTTTGAAGTAGGCTTCACGGACACTAGGAAGACAAAGATATTATATAAAATTCAAAAGTATAATGTGACCTCTAGTGGACACATCATTCCACAAGTGTAATTTCATTACAAGCTGCACATCCCTATACCAAAAAAGAGCTTTAAAGAGTTTTTGAAATTAACGTCATTCATACATTTAGTCATAATGTCCCTTTTATTTATTTATTTTTTTTAATCATTATCTTATATTGGATTTATTAAATTTATCACAAAAAGGTAACCTGTATGATAATTCAAAGAAAGGAGGAAAATAAGAAAATCAATTACAATTCTTATGAACTATAATAGATGCATTTTTTTTTTTTTTTTCAGATTCAGAAGCTAAGTTTTAGAGATGGGTTAGAATTTCTGGAAGTATTCAGTCTTTTTTTTTTTTTTTTAAATTTTTTATTTAAATGAAACAACTGAGAGATT